ATGAAATACCCAGAATGCGCAAAAAATGTCATTTGTAACAATATATTCTTGTCGTTTTTTGTGTCAAATCTGAAACAGTTCCAATTAGCTGAAATGAATAATTGTGAGGTCATTTTTTAAAGTGTATCTCATGCTGATTCAATGATCGCTATTGATGAATGCTCAAGTTCATGATAGGACTGGGCAGCGAATTACTGGGCACTAAAGGGTATGCCTCGACGGAAAATCATTATCGGTATACCAACGTACGGCAGAGGGTGGACACTGAATTCAACGAAGCCCTCATCATGTCATATCGGATTGTATGCTGCTTCCCCATCGAATGCGACCAAGTTTGTTGTGGAATCCGGTGTTGCCGCATACTATGAAGTTTGCATAGTTTTACTATTTTCCCCATCTGCACTAAAATCAAACTGCTTGGCATTCTTGCTCACCAATCAACTACTCAGTTGATTGCGGTCGTAACTGCATAGCGGAATTTGATAATCTTTAGATGCTTCACACCTAATTGTTAATTAATCAATTGAAATCGTGTCGGTGAGATAATGCCGGATGAGGTGAACAGATCCGTCTGTGCAGTAATAATTGCAAGTGTTGTTTTATTGGCATCGCTGAATGTGTGATCTTATGGCTTACTCAGATATGTGAAATGCTCACCAAAGGAGCCAAGAGATGCTGGGATGCGGAAGGCGCAGTTCCCTATCTGGTTTATGAAAATCAGTGGTTCACTTATGATGATGTAGAATCGATCCAACGAAAGGTCTGTTTCGATTCACTGCAATTGATCGCCGGACAACATTTTTGACCTCTACCCATTAATACTCATATGCTTTCCTTTGGCCAAGTATTACCTCATGTCCGCTCCTCGGAGCTGCTTTCAAATGTCTACGTAGCTACGTGACATGCACTATAACTGCAGAAGGCTAATGCGGACCAAGAATGCGCTTGAATAGCAATGAATTAGATTGTGACAAAAGAAACCACAGAAGTTTACAGCAGATTCCAATGTTCTTCCTGGGCTGAATTCATTGCATAACGGGAATTCCCTTTACGTTAAAGGCAATAATCTCATGATGACCATATTCAGCTAGTTTTCGAATATCAACTATCACTCAATTAAATGACAGAAACTTTTTCAGATGGCTTATTTGAAACGACAATTTTTTGGTGGCGCATTTGTGTGGACGCTGGATTTTGACGATTTTAATGGTTTATGCGATACACACCGAAATGACACGTATCCTTTGATCAGAACAATCGTTCGAGAATTGTCCGGAAGAGATATCAATACGGTCTGTATTCTGCGACTCATCGAATATTTTCAATACATGAAGTGAATGATATTGATCAATCGAAAAAATATCACTGGTTATACTGCTTTTGTGATCTCATTTACTTGAGTACCTAGTGAAGAGTTTGCGGAAACTTCGTTTCCTACCGTCAGGTTTCTCATGTGTTGTCAGTCGCAGTTGAGGTCCGAGGATAGGTCGCTACCACACGAGATTCATCTCCCTACAAACAGCTTCTCCCCTTCCTCCTCTCTAATTTTACCCAGCAATTCGGCTTAGTTGAGGAGATGTAGGTATTTTATTAATACTATC